CCCCCCCCCCCTCCCAACGGACTGCAAAATACAAGCTGCCCCCCCCGCGCTGCCTGAGACCCCCTTGCGCGGGGCCCGCGAACCCGACGACACGAACGCGAGCGGCCAGGAAAAAGGGCTGTATTTTTTAATGGCGTCCGGGAAGGGCTGGCCCACAGGGACTTTTTTGTCATGTCGTGCTCACCAGGTCCCCGTCGGGAAAATTTCGACGAGGAGCCACCGTTCGATGCGAGGATCGAACAGTCGTGCGGTGGCGTACGGTCACGGTGCGATTTTCCGAAACGGAAGGCCAGAGGGGGCCTCGAGTCCCGCGCGCCTACAAGTACGAGCGCCGCCCTGGGCCTTAACGTTGCATTCTGCGTCTTTGCTGGGGAGATGCTGCCCGACGGAAGCCTCTGATCCGCCACTGTCGTCAACAACACCACCCCGCACAGTTGGAGCGCCATAGTTGGCAAAGAGCAGGGACACACGTTCCTCACCGCGCTCGTTTCCCGGCACTGACGCACCCCGCATGCCCTCACATCTCCCTCGATCATATTCGACGTCGCGTGTCGACACTTCCGGCACCCACCACTCCACGCACTGCCCTTGCAAACACAAAGCATTCCACGCAGCACACTCGCGAACGAAAAGCATAAGCCAAAAGGTCGACAGATTGCTGTCTCGATGGACGGCGCGGATCGCGCGAATCTCCACTCGACAGTATCACACGGTGAATGCGGTTGGGTTTTTTGATTATATGCTCGCGCAGATGGAAAGAGTTCGTGTTTGCGTGTGTGCGGGTGGATGTGTGTGTTTGTGTCTGCGTGTGTGTGCTAGTGTGTGTTTGTGCGTGCGCGTGTGTGTCTGTGTGATTGTTTTTGTGTCAGTGTATTCGAGTGCGTGTTTTATTGTGTGTGTGGTTGTATGACGTGTATGCCACACGCGCGAGGATGGATCGTGCGCGTGTCAGGATCTGAGAGGCGTGTGTGTGTATGGGCGGCGTGTGTGGGCGCGTATGTTTGTGTGTGTGTATGGGCGGCGTGTGTGGGCGCGTATGTTTGTGTGTGTGCGTGTGCCTGTCTGTGCATATTTTTGCGCGCATGTGTGTGACTGGGCACATTTAACGCGTGAAGATGCGCGCAAAGGTGTTTCCATGTCATTTTTGCGTGTGTGTGTGTGATTGCGCACATTTAACGCGCGGAGAATCAAGTGCTTGTCTGGCGAATCACGAAAGGTCTTATCGAACACGCGGTGGCCAATCACGAAACACAATCACATCTTGAGCACTTACCACACTCGATGTGATCCTTTGTGTTGTCCCACTGTCATATCCGCCGTTCTGCCCAATGGATGATCGATCAAAACAGGTGGTGGCAATGTCGACACATCGAACGCATCCGTCGACCAATCGCAAAACACGATCAAGTCAATCGTGATCAATCCAACCGACCAGCAGAGAAAGCTCTGCGCGAACACGTGGTGACAATGTCTACAACATACACTCGATGAACCGACCCATCACGAAACATAAGCCGAACACTCGCGATCGGGTGATTGATGCTGATTGAGGTCGCAACAATATCGCCCCTGATCCGCCTAACGGATGATTAATCAGTGCACGAGGAGACAACATCGGGATCGCAAACGCATCCACCCGACCGATCGCGGAACGCTAACAGATTACTCGTGATCGGTCGATTGATCATGTGGGTTGTCCCGACGTTGTCACCCCGTGTGTGTTTGGCTTGTCTCAATGGCAACATCCAAACCGCGGCGATGTGCGTGTTTGTGTGTGTGTGCGTGTCCGTGCGAGTGCCGTTTTAGCACCGTGACCTGTTATGTGTTCCTGCATGCGATGTGTGTGTGCGTGCGTCTGTGCGTCTGCGTGTGCGCGTGCGCGATCAACCCGTCGGCGAAACAAGAGTCGATTGGTCAGGAAATCTGCCACGATAACGTGTTTGATCGGGTGCTCTGTTGGCCGTTCTTCGAGTGGTTGATCTATCAGCACACCAACCGCCAACCGAGCACCCGATCAAATAGCTGATCCTGGCAGATGTCCTGACCAATCGAGTGTTCTGTCGAAGACTACCAACAAGTTCGATAGACCGGTCGCTCGCCGACCAGATCATCAATCTGCAGACGTTGGAAGCAGCGACATCGAGCGACCGATCTGCAACAAATCCATTCTTTGCAGAGAATCCACAAGGATATTGATCATGTGCCCGCGAACGGATCACACAATGTCGTTGGTCATCGAACCTTGTATAACATCGAACCATGTTGGGCAGGTAACCTGGCTTCACATCAAACCTCGACAGGCGTCGAACCTCGTCGGACGTCGAACTTTGGTGAACTGATCGCACAATCAAACTGAACTGATCGCGCAATCAAACACCGGAAGAAGTTCGCATTCCGGCGAGCTTGTGCACCTGTTCGAACACATTTCGCAAACCCGCCCCACAACCACAACCGAGGATGTGCAGGAATTCGAAGTCCGCCGGGATCCAAACTTCAAGAAATTGTCGGACGGTGAGTTTGCCAAACAGGTGTGTCTCTTCCACGCAATTCCGCCAAGTTCGGATCCCGGCGAACTTCATGCTCCCGCCTTTCGGAAGACATGTTTGCGGCCCGCCTGCAGGGTTGTGGATCCGAACCTCGCTTGCAAGGTCCCTGGTACAGTCGTCAAGTCTGGACCTCGGTGAACTTCGGTTTGGTGAAAATGCGAAGTCCGCTGGGATCTGGACTTCTCCTGCACGTTCCCTCACACATACGTCAAGTTCGGATGCCGGCGAACTTCGCTTTTCGCATTGTTTGGGTTCAGAATGCGGACTTGGGCGCCTGGGGGATCGCCACAACCTTTGACTCTTAAACACTTGAAGTCCGCTGGGACATCGGCGAACTTGAGATTTCGTCCTTTCGCGATTCATGTTTCCGGCCCGCCTGCTGGGCCGTGGATCCAAACCTTCCGTGCACGGTTCCTCGGACACTCGTCAAGTTCGAACCAGGGCGGACTTCGGATTTGATAAAATGCGAAGTCCGCTGGAATCCAAACTTCTCGTGCACGGTTCGTCGTGCGGCCGTCAAGTTCAGACACAGGCGTGCTTCAAATCCCTGGTGGTTTGGGTTCAGACTGTGGAGTTTCTAGCGCCCGGTGGATTGCCACAACTTTGGATTCGTGAAAATGTCATGTCCGCCGAGATCCAAACTTAAAAAAAGTTCAAGACGGCGAGTTTTAGAGACACCTTTGTCTCTCCCTCGCAGTCTCGCCAAGTTCGGATCACGCCGGACGAGACGTTCCCGCCTCTCGTGGGACATGTTTGCGGCTGGCCCACTGGCCGGTAGAAGTGAACACCAAGTCGACCACCCGGATTCAGATCTTCTAGCGTGCAGTCCGGCTAATACCATAGGTTGCAGATCGCGGAACACGACGTGTTTATGAGTGTCTCCGTGCCTGTGTGTCTCGTTTGGTGTGTGCACGTGGTGCGTAGGGTGCGTAATGGAGGCGACCTTCTCGACACCACGAATCTTTGAGTCGATCTTCTCGACACCACAAACCATGAGTCCCGAGACGCACATTCGCATGGCAGAACCATTTCGTCATTGCGCGAGATCCGTGCGGTATTTTAACGGTGTGACTATGATCCACGGAGCGACCGCAGAGGACTTCGACGAGGACCCCTGGATGACCGTCGTCCCGTGCATGGGAATGCATATTGATGAGTGGTGCGATGGGAATTGGGCCACGATGGAGAGTCGTTGTCCATGGGCGAGCTTGTATAAGTTCGCCAACATGTTGGAGTTCGGGAACCTCATCCCGGTGTCTGACGCTGTCCTCGGACATAAGTTCCTGAACCATACGCGCAGAGCACTTGGCTGCATTAGCCGCCATTTCAGCCGCCTCGAGTGCCACTACGTCAGGTCGTCGCCACGAACTTGGGGAGGCTCGYGGAAACAAGAGTTGGTGGACTGCGCTCGTCACTGCTCGTTCCTGGAGCAGTAACCGCTCCGGTGCCCGGGGAATTCTCCACAAGYTGTGTCATACTGTTGTGTGCGATTGACTGTGTCGGGGATTGATTATGCCAGAGTTCTATGTATCGCTGCTTCGAACAAGAGCAGGAACCTCGTCGACGCAGTTCTGCTTGTGTCACGGAACGAGGTGGTGATTGAGGGGTCCAAATTCGTGCGGACGCATGGGCCTGAACGTCCAGATGGTTGGCACGATTTGGTGATAGCAGGGCGGGTCCAAAACTTTTCGTTGCATCGTGAGGTCGAGGAGAAAGTGTCCGACATACGGGACTGTATAGGGAATTCCTTAGCACGACCGGGAGTGTTTGTTAGGATGAAATATATGTCCGTCTTTTCGGAGAGGGCATCGGTAGACGAACCGCAGATCCACATATACGGATCATCAATGAATGCTTTGTATGGCTTCGGTTCACGACGTCGTCCCAGGGGAACCCCGAATGTCGGCTCGTCTGAACTGGTAGTCAGACCTGCTGTTTAAGGGAAAAGAAGGGAGAGGTATGAGATGTCGTTTTGCTGCCTACAATATTAGATGTGTAGCAGTGGAGGGAGGTGTGAGAGGCAATAGTTGCTAGTAGACGCTACACCGCGCACTTGTCGTGCAAATCCGTGATCGTCGAACATTTCAACAACCGTCGAAAATCAGGTTGGAGGTCTATCTCTGACGCCGTCTACTTCCATGTCGCGCCGCGGCGAAGTTCGGATCCCGGCGAACTTCGCGTTTTGGGATGTGCGTTGGTTTGTCTTTCGTACTACTGGCATCGGGCAGACCGCAAGAACCATCGTGACGCCTGTCTTTTGGACAGCCAGTGGTCTTCCGGATCCCCCGTGGATTGCGACAACAACTCCTCTCCGCCCTGTTCCGCACGTGTCGTTCTGTCCCGCCAGGGACCCATACAATGTTATCACGGCTGCTACGCATATCAGAAGAAGTTCGGATTTCGATGAACTTGTCCTTCTCAACCGGCCTCTCGTTTCTGTGTGGCATTTCCAGGTCGTGGTTGAGTGCACGGACCGTGTGTCTCTGACGCCGTCTCTGCCTGTCGCATCGTCATGAAGTTCGGATCCTGACGAACTTCACTTTTCGGGAGGTGCATTGGTTTGTCTTCGGACATGCCCGTCCGGTGGTTCGCACAACCTGCCCGGCGACCGGGAGAGTCCGTATCTGACTTCTGGTTTTGATCAAATGCAGTTGCGGAGTATGTTCGCTCGAGCCCGAAACTGGAACGCCGGCTACATTGGCTGGCTGTTTCTCTCTTTCTGTCGCACCATCTTTTAGTCGGGACCCTGGCAGACTTCGTGTGCTAGCCTGTCCGTGTTTCGAGTGCTAAGCGGAGGACACCGCCCCGTCCAACGCGAGCTTCGTACATGACCTCCCATTCATTCCCCATGTGGTCGGCATCTGTATTTTGGAAATACCAATGTGGTTGTCGCCCGGCCGCATGACGTGTGTCCCTTTTTAAAGATTGATCTCGTTGCAGGTAAGAGGTCATTAAAGGTCTTCGTGTCCAAAGTTCGCCAGGATCCGAACTTCAAGGTCCCGGAACGGTTGGCCGCAATGTTTGCCGCCTGTGTTTTTTGCCTGCGTTGTGTTTTGTCAGCGACATGACGGTCTTTGGTGGTTCATTTGTTTTCTGTTGTCGTCCGCAGACAAGATGTCTTCGTCGAGGGGCGAGGGGGAGCCTGCAGTGACCTCCGGGATGGGATCAGGGAAAAATTCCACAAAACGTTCGTCTACGACCTCGAGGTCGTGGTCGGACCACGCAAGGTCGAAATGGTTCGTCGNGACCTCCGGGATGGGATCAGGGAAAAATTCCACAAAACGTTCGTCTACGACCTCGAGGTCGTGGTCGGACCACGCAAGGTCGAAATGGTTCGTCGACTGGTGCTGTGGTGATGCTTCGAACCCAGTTCAACAGCCGTGTGGTCCTGTAATCTTCGTCGAAGCCAACAAGCGTCGCAGGGTTCAGGGGGCTGTCTTGCGGTGGGAGAATGCGAAAGGCAGTCGTCGGCGGTTCTACATGAAAAATGTATACGGTTCCAAGGGGAACGTCGTCGCCGCTGCCAAGGGGGCGGTTCTCGACATGTGTCTGTTCGAGGGGTTCGGAGCGGGTGCTGCGAACACCCCGTTCTACAACGATCTCCAGCGGCAGGGCGGGTTTGTTTTGGGACGAGAGTTCTTCGACTTGTTGGATGAGAAGGACATCGCCCTCGACGTCCCTTGCGAAGTCGGCCCTGACCTGGAACTGTCAACGCCTTTGCAACTGTGCGGCGGTTGTGAGCCGAGCGGGGCAGCGGGGGAGGGGGGGGATCTGGGTTCCGGCGAGGCTACACATGTGCAGCGGGAGGATGCCAGAGGTCAGTTTGACGACAGCGAAGATGAGGCGACACCGCGTCCGTCGTTTTCGGCATCGAGGGAAAGAGACCGGTCAGTGCTGTTCATACCTGGGGTACGACAAAAGGTCGCAGTGGATCCCGGAGAAGAGGCAGTCCAGTGTGGGTCCGACTTGGAGCCCGGCGAGGAACATGGCGCGAACGACAACGCCGTGGGCGGTGAGGGAGCGCAAAGGACTCCCCAAAAAAGGAGGGGAGATTGTCAAGAGAACGTGGTAGGCTCTTCGAAGAAACAGAAGACGAGGACCCCCACGACTATGGGAGAAAAACGGAAGGGAAGGGGGGTGGAAGAGGACCACCCGGGTAGCAAACGTCCAGCTTCAAAACAGAAACAACCTGCGTCAGGACCTTTCACGACAAGGCCTGCCATCGACGTGGACGCCGGGTACTTCCTGGAGTACAAGGACGACGTCAGGACAAGGCGAGAGTTTGAGATTAGCCCGGCTCAGATCGTCGACCTCGCGGAGTGGGAGGATCTTTACAACCAGCGGTCGCAGGATCCTGTCCTCGTGGGAACGATAAAAGAAGCAATGCAGTATGCGTTCGAAAATAAAGAGCAGACGTACGAGTTGCCGATCTTCAAGCTCACACCACTGGGGCTTCAAAAACCAACTCCAGGGACCAAGGCTCAACGTCTGAAGCCGGAGGATTGGAAGGACGAGTTGGCGGGAGAATACTACTACTACGCGGTGTGCGGGCAGCATAACGCGGCTGCAGCCCCGTCGCTGCTCGGGAGCGAGGTGGCCAAGAAGTACAATTTCGAGCGGTGGCCGGCCCAAATGCTTTACTTTTCGGACGACGACTTCGAAGGGTATTTTCTTGTTAGTTCACAGGACAACAAGACGGACCTGAAGGCGCCTCCCAGACAGTTGAAGCTATCTATGAAAGACATTCGGTGGCAGTGGAAGCATGACGGCTGCCCGAGAGCTGTGATGGGGAACCCTAGTGGAAAACAAGATCAGGTCCGGGCTTGGCGTAAGTTTTGTACAACGGCGCTCCATAAGGCGCCTCACAACAGCTTGTGTATTCTCGCGGATCAAAAGGAAGAGGAGGCCCTTAAGAAGCAAAATATTGCCCTGCGTTCTTATTTCCCTCTCGCGATGGCTGGAGAAAATGTCTGGAAACTTGCCCTGGAATTTTAAAAAAAATGGGAGACGGGTAGATTGCTGAGCCACGACAGAGCGAAGTGGATCGTGAAAAAGAAGAAGGTCAAAAACGTCAAGCCTGGGGTCGCCTACATCCACAACAACAAGTTGGGCATAACTGAGGTGGTGTACAACGTCCCCGTGGACCCACCGAATAAGAAAGGCAAAAAGGAGAAAGTGGAGGGCGATTGGTTCGTGCAAGTGCTCGACCCGGACGCGCATTGTTGGAAAGCAATGGAATCATTCACGGACAATGAGAAGTGTCGAGTTCTAAAGAAGGTGCTTGCTTGCGAGGTCGTTTGGGTCCAGGCCGGCTCCCCGTCGTTGGCGAAGTTGGGGAAGCTCAGCGTGCAGGACATGGTGCAGCTGGTGAAGTGCGACCGCGTGCTGGTCCGGTTGTGGAATTACTACCAGTTCAAACACGAGAAGAGGTCGGACGCGGATTGGATCCAAAGGTACCCTTTCCTGAAATCGAGGTCTGCAGTGTTCAGGAAGTTTGAAAGCCAGGGATTGGATGACAAGTTGTGGGATAACAGCAGGAAACACGTTTCAGACTCGGCGCTGTTCAAGGACTGCCCGCCGTACATGGGTTGCGACCAGGACAACTCGATTGAGGTGACGGAGAAGTTGGCGGGACACAAGAAGTTGTCCGTCGACTGGAGAAACAAGGTTCTCTCCGTGTTAAATGAGAGCAGACTGAAGAGCCGGGAGGTCGCACTTGCCGAAGGCATTGTTCACATTAAATGGAAAGACACGGGGGACGTGACATCCATCGTGCCGTTCGCTAACGACCCTTTGGAGGCGGACATGAGGAGCGCAGAGCTGAAGGAAGTAGTGGCTGCCACAAAGAGCCACACGTTCATCCTCGATCTGTGCGAGCCGGTTGACCTCAAACTGTGGAAGGCCCAAGTGTGGGAGACATTGGATTCCTATCTTCAGACGTGGTGTCCGTCGCATTGGACTCTCGTTGTTTTCGTGCCGCGGCAGCACAACCTCACGTTTCTCGCCAGCATGCACCATCTTTCTTTCGTCAAGCTGTTGGAAGGGAAGTGGGTGAGGAGAGTTCAACAAAAGAAAAGCTTCCCCGTTGGGAACAATTTGTACACGGAGGAAGACCGCATGTACATCCTCTTCAAGGGTGACAATCTGCGCGCCAACACGTCCGTGGTCTACGAGGGAAACCTGCCCAGGGGTGCCGCTGCTGCGGTGCGATTGCCTCAGAGGGTCACCCAGACGGATGTATCCGAGATTCCCTTTGTGCCTTGCGATTGGTCGCTGGTGGCGCCGGAATGACAGGGCAGTGTCTACGGGGATATGGAACACAATCCGACACAATTCGTCAGTCTACTTGATTTCCTTGGGAAGAAGGGAGAGGGTGTCGTGTTCCTTGGAAAACCGCACTCGCGAAGCATCTGGGATCTTCTGAAGGCCGGACGACACGTTGTCACGATGGAAGGGAACGCCGAGCTCTCGCAATTCACAATGCAGGTGGTGAAAAGCGAGGTCAATTCGGACGGGCACAATTGTGAGTTTATGGTCGTGAAGCCAACACGGGATAAGGTGTGGAGCAACAAGACGGATATGTGGTTCAAGTTGAGCGAGAGGAAGAGGAACAAGATATACGATTTCTTGTTCCTTCAAACGCGGCCGAGGAAGAACTCTGACGCCGAGTACGTCCGCCGGAAGGACCACATGTTCGCACTGCTCGACAACTACCACTTCGCCTCCCGCATGAACGCGAAGACGTTTCTCGATAGGCTGCAGTCGCTGTACTTCGTGGAGTCTGAGGAGCAGTTGAAGTTAGCCAGTTACGCTTCCCTGATCTCCTGTGTGTCCTATGAACGGAGAACGGGTGAAATTCAACGTCGTTGAACCCGTTCAACGGGCCTGGGGGGCCCTGTTAAATCGCGTTTAACACGAAAACGGGGGTGTTCCGTTGAATTTTGAAAAATGGAACTGCCGCATTGGGCCTCGGACACGTGGCCCTACGTGCCCAAACACTAATAACAAGAAAAAGGCAAAAAAAAAATTGACCCCTGCTAACAGGGTGGGGTGGCCAAACATGCCCCTCCCTCCCGAAATTCAAACAGCAAGAGGGAAAAAAAGTAAGTGCCACCCCATACCCCAAGACTGTGAGCACATGTGTATGCATGTGGGTGCATTTCCTTCTTTTTTTTTTTTCTTTTTTTTTTACGAATGTTGCAATCTAATCGTCTAGTCTCATTTCCGAAGGGTCCCTACGGATCAGCAAGGACCATGCCTGGAGCAGCAACTTGAAGACTATTCTCGTGGCCCGAGAATATATAGTCTGGATTCGAATTCAGGTCTGTGCAGTCTGTGCAACTTAGTTATGGGTCATGAATTCTCTGTTTTCTCGTGTTTTTTTTTTGTTTTTCTTCTTTCTTTTGTTTTCCCGTTGTTTTTTTTTTTTTCTCATTTTTCTTCCGTTTTTTCTCGTTTTTCTTTTTTAAGGAATACGTGCAGTGGCCCTAAGGGCTTCTACTCACCACATGCACAAAAGACAATCATATGGCGGTGTAT